CGTCCGGTGCTGCGGCCGCCGCGGAGCGAGGGCGGGAGCGGAGCCCGCGGGAGCGCCCGGGCCGCCGCGCTCGGGCACGGGGAGCCGGCGGGGCGAGGTGGCGGGGACGCCGCCGGCCCTCGGGCCCTCCTCACCTCGCCCCCTCGGCCCGTGTGGCACCGGCGGTGACAGGTGGAGCTCGGAGCGCTCCGGGCCCGGCCCGGCCCGGCGGCTTCGGTGGGAGAGCGGCGTTGTTGTGACTTGCCCGCAGAAAGCATGGAAAAAGTGAGCGGTGGTAAATAATCCGGTGACATAACCTCCCTGCGGACCACACGGAAGAAATCCTGCTCACCGCCGTCCTCCACTGAAGTGGACTTGCTTAATTCGAAACTAGAAATAGCAACAGTTGGGTGTTTTGACAGATGCTGTATCGGTGCAATGCCTCCTTTGCAGTAGTTCTGTAACTTGGATTAGTACCATTTAGTCCTTAAACAAGAAGTTTAGTGAGCAGTTATAGTTTAATTCCAGCAAGTCACGAGCAATTTGGACTGTATTTACAACAGAAGTGAGACAGCACTAAAAACACGCTGATGTTGATACATCCTGAGCTCAGGCTGTCTCTGAGTCCCACTTGTTGCAATAAAGCGTGGCATCTGCTCCGGGAACTTTTTTTTTAAGCAGGTAACAAAACAGGTGTGACCCTGACAAGTCATTCTCAGTGCACACAACTGAAGTGTTTCCTGTTTCTAAGGGAACTCCTTTGGCATTGGCTGAAATTATAGGTAGGGTGAGTCCAGGTGGGGTGACTCTTCTAAACAGGAAGCAGATTTAATTGGTAAATAGGCTTGTTTGTCTTTTCTAGGCTTGTTGCCGTGATTTTTTTCTTCCCTTTTCCTTTCAAGTTCCCTGTTAACTGTTGATGCTGTTGGCTTGGTGTCTCCAAACCACTCATAGCCAGCTTGCTGCCTTCCTGTCCCTCCTCTTTGGAGAGTTTTATTTCATTTTAATTGACGCTGAAGTGGCTACTGTTGGCGTTGAGCTGAGTAAGTGGAGGAGAAACTGTGTAAACGTAACTTAGGAATAGAGGACAGTGACGTTTTGTGACCCCTTGATGGGACATCACTCAATCACATTGAGAATTCTTGTCAGTAACCGTCTTGATTAAAGACATCACTATTTTAGCCAGATTTATCTTTTTTTTTTTTTCTTATAAACATCCTGCTGTGTGAACACTGCAGTTCTTTTTGACTTTTGAAACAGCATTTACCTGTTTCAAAACACTTCTTGGATGATAGAACAGCACAAAGCCTTTGAGAGCTGGTCCCTCCTTCCCTTTCCTCCATCAGAAACTGCTGCAACGTTTGAAGAAGTGGGAAGTGAGAGTTCCTTGGGTTGCTTTTTAGTTTTTAAAGAATCCAGGCTGAGGTGTGAACTGCCTGAAGCAGCCATGTCATGCTTGGTGCGTGTCTGATGTATTTGAAGTGGGTTCCAAACCTGGAACTCAACTGGCCTGAGCATATGGGAACAACACCATTGTACTTCCAGCTGACTGGAATTACGTGCAGCTTTCCAGTCCCTACCACGTTCAGATGGCTTTTCTGTGTGTAAACACCTAAATTTGAACTGGTCAAACTACCTGGGAGCTTCTTTTACTGCTGGTGTGCCTTCCACTGCCAGGTTTTGCTCTGGGCGGATTCCAAGATGGTTGATGCCCTGAAATCTGAAGCACGGTGGGATTCAGACCCTCCTTTCTCCCTTGGATGGTTCCCCATGTGGGGCTTTGGAGGGCTGTGCT